AAGCAGTGAAAGGGTTAGCATGTGGGCCAAGAGTCTACTCGAGCACGAGGGACACTGGGAACACAGAATGGGTGGCTGGGGTAAGTGTCTGACTTTTAATTTGGCTCGGGTCATGATCTTGGGTTGTGAGACTGAGGCTTGAATAGGGCTCCCTGCTCAGTGCAGACTCTGCTTGGGGTTCTTTCCCTCCCCCTCTGCTCCTTGTGTGTGCTCTAAAATAAATAAAATCTTAACCAAAAAAAAAAAAAAAGAAGAAGAAGGAGAAATGCAGAATCAGTTGGAATGGTTTGTGGCAACCTTTCTCAGGCTGAGTCTGTCCTGCTACAGGTAGAAGAGCCACGCAGCAACAGTTTCGACATAAGGAAACAAGGGGTTTAAATGGAAATGGGGAGGAAACAGGCTAATCAACTTGCAAAAATTAACCGAACCAAATAACTCTTAGTTGCAAACTATGTATTAAAAACTGCGCACCGGTATAAAGTCATATGGGTAAAAAGCACTGCGTTAAGAGCACACAAGGATGTCTGTGAAGTACATTCAGATTCTCCTCCACTAGCAGAAAACACTTTGCCAAAGAAACACGCTGTCAGATGACAAAGATTAAAATCCCAAAAAACCTCCAACAGGATGAAGACTTTCTTTACCTACCAACTCAGGGGCTGTGGAACTTCAACTTTCTGACCGTCCACTTCCAGGTCTTCCAGTTCCTTGAAATACTTGTTCTTTAAGCAATGGAGAATCTCCTTCGCATGGCTATGAAAAAATAAGTAAGTTTTGATCCACTCTGAAAGACTCATATACATTTTATCTCTTTTGAACTTAAGATGCAAGTGTCTTAAAACTAAAACCATCTTTGCACTGATCGCAGACCCTTTCATGGCCGTCCTTCTACTCTATCCCTTCAAAGTTTAAACAACTGTCCTTGCTTCATCGCTAAAAGATGATGCTAAGCGAATTACTACTGCATTCCTTCGCCCCCAAATATTCCTACGGTTCCTGTTTACTTGCAACTCATCTCGGAAGGATGGAACCACAAAGATTTAAAAAGACAGGAGAACCGGAGTTTCGCACAAACTCTGTAATATCACAAATTCTCCCATGTTCCAAAGGGGAGGCATCCTCAGCTCCCAAATGCCCAGAAGTCCCGAGTCTGTCTCAGATCTAATATCCGCGTCCTGCAGCCTCCCGACCTGCCGCACCCCCCCCAGCCTGCCCGTTGGACCGTGTGCTCCCTCCTCCGTGCTTGCAGACGCGGGAAGCCACAGCGCCGGTAAGCAGCCGCTCGCCAGCCCCCTAACACTCTTCGGAGGCCAGGCCGGGCCGGACGGGTACCCTCCTCCTGAGCTGACCCCCACTCTAGGAAATCAAGGCTCCGCGAAGCCCCCTACCTTTTGTAGCCAGTAATTCGCAAAGTGGCCGGGAGGGGCTCCCGGAGCGCTTCCATGAACTGGTCCCACTCGCCCTCGGGCACGATCTTGAGCTCCTGGTAGTAGTGCTCGAAGAGCTTGTTCTCCTTGACGATCTCGGGGTACCCGCCTTCCCATCCCTGAGGAAGGAGACACGCGTCCACCCAGGTCCGGAGGAGCCGCTCCGCGCCGTCCCGCAGGCCGCGGCGGCCCGCAGACGGACGGGGGCCCTGCCCGCCCGCGCCCCGGTCCTACCGCCTCCTGACGCTTGCCGCCACCCTCGGCGCCGTCCTCCGCGCGCGGCGGCCGCTGCTGCTGCTGCTGCTGGAGCCGCCGGCCCCGCGCCCGCCGCCCCATGGCCCACGCGGCCGCGCACGCCGCCCGCACACCGCGTCCCGCCACCGCCGGCCGCGCGGACTTCCGGGCTGGCGCGCGAGGCCCCGCGGGCTCCGCGCCTGCGCCGCTCCCGGGCGCGCTGCGTGGAAGACGCCCAGAGCGCCGCGACCCGTGCTCCCGCAGAGCAGCGAGCGAGGGGCAGCGCCGGCAGCCCTGGCTGGGAGGGGGCCCCTGGGAAGCAGCACCGAAGCAACCCGCGCGGGCTCCGGCAGCTCCGCGGACAGCCCGCGGTCGCGCGTGCGCAGAGCGGCGGGGGCGGGGCTTCGGGGGCGGGGCCTGACCGCCTCCCGCCGCGCCGGACCGCCTCTGGTCCAACCTGCTGGGCCCGTGCGCTCGCGCCTCGGGCGCCCGGGGAGGAGGGAAGGGCTGCGGCTCGGGCCCGGGCGTAGGCAGCGGGCGTCCGCCTCAGGTAGCCGCGCCCCCCGCCCCCACACCGGGGCCGCCACCTCCCTATAAGTGGCCCGCCGCGGTCGCCAGACCATGGGGCGCGTCTGCAGTCTCCCGCCATGGAGCCGGCCGAGAGGTTCCTGCTGGACAAGCTCGCCTACCTGCAGTGCGCCATGGGCCTCCTGGGCTCCGTGCTGCTCCGGCTGCTGCGCTCGTGCTACGGGCGCTACGCGTCTCCGGGCTCCGCCTTTCGGGTGCCGGCGCGGGCCGCCTGGGCGCTGCAGGAGCTGCCCTCGCTCGCCGTGCCGCTGTGGGTGTGCACCGTCACGGCGGCCGAGCGCCTCCGCCGAGCCCCCAACCGCATCCTCCTGGCCATGTTCCTCGTCCACTACGCGCAACGGTAACGGCCGGCAGCCTCGCGCCTCCCCGCGCGCCCCTGCCCCCCCCCCCCCGGCGCCCCGCCTGCGCCCGCCGCCGAGCCCTGGCCCGCACCTCTGCCTCCCTCTCCACCGCCCTCCTCCCCGGCCCCCGTGCCTGCCTTCTTCCTTCCTCGCTCCCGTGCCTACTCCTGGCAGCCTCTTTCCCGCTGCCCTTCCCAGCCGCCCCGCTCTGCACACCCGCCCTCGCGCCCTGTCCCTGCTGACCCTTCCCTGGTGTCGTCTCGCGGCGCCGGGCTCCCTCCGCCCGTGCTGTTCTCGCTCTGTACCTGGCCCCTAGTCCTTCTCCCCTGGAAGGAGAGTTTAGCTTAGCACAGTCTGGAAAAGTGGGCCGGGCGTGGGCGCGGTGGGAGAAGGTGAGAGAGGGCTGGAAAGATCCGATGGAGGAGCTGAGTGTATGACCTGGCAACTGCAGAGGAGAGGAAGCTTGATGATGCGAAGGCTCGCTCGCTCAGCGCTGTCAGAGGTACAGCAGCGAGAAAAAC